CAGCTGAGCTCCATTCCTCCCTCCTCCATAGTGTGTATGTATGTGTGTGTGTGTGTGTGTGTGTGTGTGTGTGAAGGTTTAACTATAGCCTTCTAATAATTCTAACTGCACTGGCCATTAGATGGAAACTATTTACTGTAGAAATCTCATCATTAAAATGTATTTCTAATTACTATACTTAATAAAAACAATACCCACACCATGTGTAACAATTGTGTCAAGCCACATAAACTTGTACCATCTCAAGGCTCTTAAGTCTTAAGTATAATGTTATATCCCACAAGTAGGCCTACTTTACAACATAGACAGTAACAGTGTGCAGTATGTTCCTGGACCTTTTGTTCCAAGTAAAACACAAACATGACCCATAGTTATTTTGTACGTTTAAGGGCAGCTAGAATTGTAGATAGTAAATTAAATAGTAAATTATCATTTTAAAGTCAAAGCAGATATAAAGTGCTACTGTACGACATACTATTAGTATGGGTACCATAGTTTACAACACCAAGTTCTCTTTCAATTCTCCCCAAATGCCAGATTGTTGCTCAGCAGCCCATACTGGACCCCTTAATAACAGAACAGGTGCCTGTTAGTTAAAATATACCAACAGCATCTATTCCTTTTAAGTTTCAGAACCTACTTTTTAGTTTAAGTTTAAGTAGTTTTAAGTTAGGCACTAGTGACAGCTGAAAACACGTTGCCTGAAATGACCTGCACAACCCCCCTCTCCTTCTGTTGTGTCATTCCCCCTCTCTCCACCTCATAATGACGCATTGTCCACAGGCCACTCTGAGGCCAAGTGAACAACAAAAGGTCTGCAGGGACTCTGGGACCAGTCTGAGAGCACCCAGGGGATGAAGAAGCAACAGAATTAGCAGAAGTGAAGGTTCTGTGAAATCTTCAGGAGTGTACAGTGGAAACGAAGCAGTAAGTGCTCTGCAATTATGGCATGTCATTTTTGTTTCCTTTTATTCAAGCAGGAGAAGATCAAGTTTCATTCAAGCGCTGAGTCCCTTACAATAATGATTATTTGCTCTGATGGTTATTAAATTGTTCCTTGATGTAAATGAGAGACGTCCCATTAAAGAGATTCATTTTGTTTTATTTAAGATATTTGTCTCAGTTGCAGTGGCTGGTTTAATCACTGCTGGAATTCATACTGCGTGCAAACACTACAGTACAGTGTAGGCAGTGTAAGATTAAGACCTGCTCTATTTTTACAGTTCTTTTCACAGATTATACTTTAATTTCAGACTGTGCATGTCAATGATCCTGATGGCTATTATTCAGATATACTACAGCTGTTATGAACCTGTGTGTTTTAACAAGTAGCATGACAGAATGATTATTTGTTCATTAATGACAGGATATAACTGACAGTATAACGACAGATCTCCTTTAAAACTCTGTAAACTATCTCAGCAGACCAAAACTCACACAGTCCTATTAGCAAACATTCCTTTGGTATTTTGACCTAAAAGCCAACAATGCTCCTTTGGCTCACTAATCAGGGCAGGGATTCAGTCAAATTCTTAAAGGTCCAGTGTGTAATATTTAGGGGGATCTACTGGCAGAAATAGAATATAATATTCATAGGTATGTTTTCATTAGTTTATAATCACCTGAACAGAGGAATCATTATGTTTGTGTAGAATGAACCTTTTATATCTACACATGCTTCATGCCACATGCCACGGGTCACCTTCTATGAGTCCACCATGTTGAACGGCCATGTATCTACAGTAGCCTAAAAGGGTTGAACTAAACACTGGCACTAGATAGGGGCATTCATGTTTTACATGCATTTTGCAGCCACCAAAGTTTCTCCTTTGTTGCATCTGCAACTACACCAATATATGCCACTACATCCTATACAATGGGCCTTAAAACAATCTTAAGATAAATGGACATGACAATTATTTTAACTTGACTGCCAAAACTTGTATCAAAAATGTTCTTCACATGTTTGCTGCTGGAATCAGTGATGGCTATTGCCAGTTGACAGTGAAAAAATCTGAAAAGATGCTCCTCCTCACTTCCAACTCAGCCAACATAACTGTTGGCTGAGTTGTAACATTTTGATCATCATAGCAGTCTTTTAGAGGAACCAAATCATCTGCATAAAATGAAACAATATATTGTCTACTAATTATGTGACCAAGGGGAAGCATAGACCCTAGACCCTTGAAGTACACTGCAATACATTTTGTAGACAAGGAAATTAGGTTATTAAGTTCAAAAGAAAAATGCCTGTCAAAGACAGGAACTTAAGCTTGATTTGACAAATGTGTGGACCTATACTCACAATAACCTCTTCTAAATGTTTAGCATATAGAATGTCAAAGGGGCACTCATATGGGAGACAATATCAATGAGAAAAATAACCTGATAGAACGTTAGGATTGGGATTTAAACATCAACTTTGTAATTTATGCTGCTATCAGTTGGCTCACTAACCTTTTAGCTGGGCTCCATGTTGCCGGGCCTCAAGCTATGTGCTTTTTTCCAAATTCATTCAGCGTCATTCATATGGTACTAATAATTTGTATAGCACTTTTCTTAACACAGTTAAAAAGTGCATTAACAAAGGACACAAGAGGCAGTAATAAAATTACACAGTAAAAAAACAGATAAATTACATTAATTTATAATATATAAAATTATATACTATTCTCCAGGAGATACAAGTCAGTTAAAAGCCAGTTTAAAAAGGTGTTACTCACTGGAAAACAACAATGACGGCTGCTAAAGAGGTTAGTGTAAATGTTGAAAGAAGAACAAAGAATGGCAGTGAATGCTTTTCTTGATAGAAAAGATGATTTTGTTCTTCTCCAGAGTGGCTTTAGTTTGACTGTTTGTAGATCTGATTTAACAGTTTCCAACAACGACTTCCCAGATGGTTCAATGGTTTCTGCCAATGTGATGGAAAAATCTTCAATGACAGTATCCATTTCGTCTTCTGTGACGGTTTCTCTCGTGTATCTTCGATCCTTAGAGATCGCTTCTTGATCCTCGCTACTCCGTGCAGAAATAAGTGCTTTGGGATGGCCTGCAAGATAGTGGACCAGAACAAACTTCCGGTTATAGCTTGTAGCGAGGAAATGTCAAATAACTTGGGATGTGCCCCCGGACTTCTTAGTTATTGTGACTTTAACAAAGGAAACCTCAGCCACAAACTCCCCAAATACAAGCAGTTTATTAAATGCCCGACCAGAGAGGAGAATATTCTGGATCACTGTTACACTATAGTCAGCAGTGCATATCAAGTGTTCAGGAGTGGGGACAGTGATGGGTTCAAAAAGTCACAAGTAAAAAATGTACAAGTTTAGCAAGGCGGTGAG